GCAATTGCAATTGTTCTGCGTATTCTGTTCAAACATATAAAAAGGTGGGAAATTAGTTCTCAAACTGCTTCTTACTTGATTAAGTAACAGAACTAATTGTGAAAATCTGTCTTTCAAGACCAGACCTAGGATTTTACCAAGCTTTTTTGTCTTATTACATTACTGCTGTACTTTAACCTAGCATAATTCTTCACTCTGATCATATTTGTTGTATAGAGACCACATGCTTGATTTCTGTCTTGTATGTGGTATAATTTAAAAATTAAGAAAAAAAAAAGAAAAGAAGAACAAAAAACTATCTAAAGAGAGAATTTGATTTAATTTATGGGACTCACCATTACACTGTAACCTATATATACCAATTTTAAAATTATTTATTGTAAGACTATGTGTTTACTTATGCACCAATGTATTCTTGCACTTAAATAAAAAGCTGTAGCAGTTAGCCTATGTGATTAGTTCATGTGTTAACATGTTGATATTTTCAGCATGTAAATCGATAGATAAAACACTAACATTAACTTTTTAATTTTTATGCTAATTCCTAATTTTTGAAGAGATTTCTTTTAATAGAACTGTAAGGCTTCCTTCTGTGTTAAAAATCCTTTACTTCTGGATTTGCTATTACTCAGATATTTTGGAAGAACTACTCCAAACTAAATAATTAAGACACATTTCTAAAATTAAATATTGATATATTCAGGAGATTTTAGATTTCCAAAAACGTTTTAAATGATGACTTGAGGTAGTTACTGCTATATCAGCATAAGCACTTTCTAGTATGATGTTGGCTATAGAATTTCCTAGACTGCTTTCTACCCTCACAGTATTTATACAACCATGTAGTTCTCTATCAGCTGAGCAAGGGACTACTTCTAAAAGGTTACAAATAATAAGATTTTCAATATACTTATTTACAACAAACTTTCCTTAACTCTAGAGATCTGTTTTAAAACACAGATTAGTTTTGTAATTTTCAGCAGAAAAACAAAAACATGAATAATATGTATTATCTCTTTAGCCCCATAAATCTGAATAAACATATCATCATTAGTTTTGCCCTTAATTAGTGCGAATACTTCTTAAGCCACCTAGATTATGCTCATACTTTTGAGAAGTTTAGCACCAGCAAAGCCACAAAATACATCACTCAAGTTTATCTAATCAGGGGGAATTCCAGTCTAGCATTTCTTTTACTGTATCCCATACGCCTGATTTGCAGATAATAATAGTAGACGGTAGATGAAAACCTGCTGTAAGATGATAAAACCAAGGCATTTTACTCCTCAAGAGTAAAAAATAAAGTTTTATCCATTATTGTGCTTAGAAAGAAAGACTGATTGGATGGCAAGAGACAACTTTGAAGGTGAACGAACTAGGGGAGTTTGTTCTCATGCAGGGAACCAGTTCAGACCTGCAAACAAAGAGTATATGGAATTTTACTTGTGAGCTTTGAAAAGTCAAAATCACCCTTTTTTTTTTTTTGCTTCATGCTTCCTCTTCAGAAGGAAGGTAAGTAAAAGAATTCTAATTATGCTAATTACTCCGATAGAAAAGACTGAAGAATTTAGATAGAATTTGAGAATACAGGAAAACAGCTCATAGTCACGTGCATCAAATTAACAGATTGTAGCTTGGTGTTTAAATCCATTCTTGGAACCATCCTCACCCACAAGCATTTTCTGAGCAATTTTCTTAACTATTCTCCCAGTTAAAGGTTCAAAACAAATTCATCTGTGGTAAACAACAGGAACACTTCTTCAAGCTTAAGATCAGGGACTGCTGACAACTTCACAGTCAATCTTACATTCTCCAAGTTTTACTGTAAAGTTTGCTGGTTATTAGTATCCCTTGTGAGTACCAATGATCTAATTTAAATTGTCTTGTGTTCTCCAGAGTCTCCTCTGATACTGTCTAGTATCTCGGAGAGATGTATTTTCTGTACAGAGCATTTGACATGCTACTACAGTATGTTTTACACACAGTACCTGTGGTTGATGGTGAATGGTATGAGTGCTGCATATCAGAGAAATTAGATTATTTTAAAATACTATTTTGTAGGAAATATTCTATTCATAATAAGAATGCACAGTGAAACTCAAGAGCAATAACTACATAGGTAATTCAAGTACACAGGTCTAGGGATTGGAGTATGTACTACAAATACATAATTATAATAAAAGAAATCCTTATAAATGTTAATCTTTCAATTAGAAAGTCTCAACATCCATAAAACAGAATGTTATTGGATGCTGCATTCTTTCACTGACAAATAAGTCTCCAACTGTTTAATGGGTAACTGTCAAAAATAAATTTCCTCTTATTAATTCATATACTATTCATATAATCCTGTGCCATATAATTCATATTCTCTTATCATCAAATTCTTTCAAGAAGTCAGCAAGTAACAGATAGGGTACAGGTTTTTTTACTATCTGCTTTCTTATATTAAGATGTTGTAATATTTTAGAATCAAACTGCATAAATTGCAAGATTTCTTAATCACATTTTCATAATTGAGCTTAAGACTGAGTTTGATGATGTGGTGTTGGCTGGGCAACCACAAACCATATGAAGTTTACCAAGAATATGGACCAGGTTATTCCCCTGGGATGGGACAACCCTGGATTTACAGACAGACAGGAATGAGAGGCTGGAGAGCAGTGCCATGGAAAGGGTCCTGGGAGTCCTGGTCCATGGCAAGTTGAATGTGAGCCAGCAGTGCCCTGGCAGCCAGGAGGGCCACCTGTGTCCTGGGAGCATCAGGGACAGCATCGCCAGCCGGGCAAGGGAGGGGATTGTCCCGCTCTGCTCTGCTCTGGGGCAGCCTCACCTCGAGTGTTGGGGGCAGTTCTGGGTGCTGCACTGTTATAAGGACAGTGCTAGAGAGCACTCAGTGGAGGGCATGAAGATGGAGAAGGGCCTTGAGTGGAAGCTGTGTGAGGAGTGGCTGAGGTCATTTGGTCTGTTCAGCCTGGAGGAGACTGAGGGGAGACCCCATTGTGGTCTGTGAGGGGAAGAAAAGAGGCAGGCACTGATCTCTCTGGTGAGCAGTGACAGGACCCAAGGGAATGTGTCAGGGGAGGTTTAGGTTGGAAATCAGGAACAGGTTCTTCATCCTGGGGATGTTCAGGCAGTGAAGCAGACTCCTCAGGGATGCGGCCACATCACCAAAACTGCCAGAGTTTAAGAAGCATTTGGACAAGGCTCTCGGGCATGATCACACATGGTGTGATTTTTAGGGTTGTTTTGTGCAGGGTCAGGGATTGTACTCAGTGATCATTGTGAGATCTCATGGGCCCCTTCCAGCTCAGGATATTCTATGATTCTATGGTTTTTAAGGGTAATCAATTCATAGATCCACTAGAGTAACATTCCATTAGGAATTAAACTGAAACAAATATATAAAAAATATACTACATTCCTCTGTGGTCTAAGTTTACTGAAGTAAGTCAAGTTGTATTAGGAGAAAGTATAAATCTCATTCTGAGATAGAAAGCTAAACTAGTTCAAAAATTCCTGCTAGATATAAATGTAAACTGCATTTTAAAAAGGCAGGAGAATCCCAGGACTAAAATGTTAACACAGCAGAGTTAATCTCAGCTAGAATAATACAGAATATAGGAGAGATTACTTATAGTTTCCCACCATCTGAAACTATGCTCAGATGTGAAGTCAAGATGCAGATCTTGTGAAACTCTATATCCAAGAATATGGAGCTGTTTCCTGGCCCAGTATTCAAAGAATCATAGAACATGCTGAGTTGGAAGGGATCCATCAGGATAACTGAATCCAACTCCTGGCCCTGCACAGAACACCCCAAGAGTCACACCTGTGCCTGGCAGCATTATTGAAATTTTTCTCGAACTCTGGACTGTGGTCACAGGCTTGACGCTGTGACCACTTCCCTGGGGAGCCGGTCCTGGTATTATTGATATGGACATTGAAAATCGATGATTATTAAAAAAAAAAAAAACAACCAAACAAAAAACAAAAAACAAACCAACAAAAAAAAACCCCAACAACAACAAAACAAAAGAAACAAACAAAAAAAACCAAAAAAAATTATTTGCTGTTTATTCTTTTCTAAAACAAATCTTTAAAGAAAACCATACCTACCTGAAGATTCAGAGTATCCTCTGTGATCACTGAATTTATACAAAAATCTTTCTGCATTTCCCAGTATGCTAGTTCTTAGAAAATCAAACTTATAGAATGAACAAAAGTGGGGGAGCTATGGGGGGTTCTTTTTTCCCAGAAATTTCTAAACACAGTTTTCCATAATGCCTGCCCCATTAATCTTTTTGACACTTACTTGTGTCATAAATTGAAATAAGCTCTGTCCCTTCTGTTTTGAAAATGTCTTTGTTTTCTCCTGTATAGTTTAGGTTCATTTGCTTGTAGTAGCAACCACATCTAGCTTGTTAACCTGGTTTTTATACTATTCCATGTAAGTCTGGGTTTTGTGGCATTTTTTTTGACTGCTCTGTGACCTAATGGTTCCAAAGTAAATCTGGCATATACATTGTGGAGGAAGCCTGGAAAACGGTACATTCTGTACATATTCTTCCAGAATACCCAATGCTAAAATCAAATTAATAATTTCCTAAACTTAAGTTCAGAAAGTAATTTTAAAAATTAACATAAATACCTGTACATTTCAGCCAATGCTTCTTTTATGTATGTCTTGGTTTGAAAGACAGGTGTCTGCCAAGGGAGATGGGAATGCCTTGGAATGGAGAATATGATCCCCATCCCTCCAAATTATTCTCGATTTGAAATTAAAGGGCTTTCCAGCAAAGATATGAGAAAAGGAATATCAGTTCTTTTCTACTGTGTGCATGTCTAACAAGGCAAACCAACAGCAACGCCGGCAGGAGCAAGAAGCAGGAGCAGAGGCCCAGCCCCAGCCCTCTCTGGGCCGCAGCCGCTTCCCCTCGTGCAGTTCCGGCACCGCCGCCAGGGGGCGCTGCCGTGACTCCCCCGCCGGCAGGGGGCGCTGTGCCGCGCCTCCCGCCGCCTCCCTCACGCGGGGATGGCGGGCGCTGCCGGCGGAAGGGATGGGAAGGGGCTTCCCTTACAAATCCCGGTGTCCCCCCGGATAGCGAAAGGGGTGCAGCAGGAAACTCGGAGCGGCGGCTGGAACGGCGGAAGGGGTTAACCCGGGGCAGCAAGCAAGAGGCAGCGGAAACACCGCAGCTGTAGCTGGAGCCACGGGGCATCCCGGCAGGCAAGGGGTGTGTGGGTACAGTGTAGCGAAAAACTCGAGCGGTGGCTGGGGAAGTGGGCAGAGGCAGCCCGGCTCCCGAACACGGCAGGGAGAGGCTCCCTGGCAGGGGAAAGGGGCTGGATCCCGGGATTTCCCCTGAGTCACCCCACCAGATGGTGAAGGATCCTTTTTTTTCAGTGCGGCAAGGTGCCAGTAAGGTCCCAGTTCAGTGGCTGCTCTCACGAGCAAAGGCTCACCCACAGCACAAGAAGCGGGGCAGGACTGAGCTCCGGCAGCGGCAGCAAGTTCCCCGCACCAAGCAGCAGCTCGACCGTCCCCCTCCGAAGCCGGGAGAGCAAGAGACCCAGGAGCTGTGCCTAGTCCCCTTTTCCCCAGCCCAATTCTTGCTGTATCTCTGCCCCTCCGAGAGAAACCCCCTACCCTGCACAGTAAAGCCAGCTGTACTCCTCCCCCTTCTAAGTAGTTATTTCTTTTGTCTCTCTTTAAGTACTGATCGTTATTGTTTCTTAGCAGCAGAAATGGGAGAAAATTTCTTAAGAGGAAGAAAACAAAAGGAAGAAATCCTAAATCCCAATAATTTTGAAGCTCATCTTCCACTTTTTTCTGTAGTCTTGTATTTTTGGGATGACTCTTTTGGAGTCATCTGACCCAAAAAACTGTCCTGTAAAAGGATCAGATGGCAAATTCAGTGTAATACAGAGTCTTACTAAACACTGGGCTCAAGATGTTCTGTAAGTTTGTAGTGTTTTGAAAAGCTTGTATAATGAAATAAAACATGCGTCTCTTTTCCAATGCCCTACTTCATTAGTACTTGTTTGTATGCAATCTTCTTGTACAGAGGATTAAAATATTTCACAATTTGCACTGTTTTGGCTGTGAGTTTATCTTGCACCTCATTTTAGTCTGGTGTCCTGGTACTATGATAATTTTCAGTGCACATGTGCTAGTTCACTTCCAGGCTGCCATCTGGAGTGAACTAGATGACCTGCTTCCTACAGAAAACCTGAACTTCTGTGTCTGGTTCTTAAAGAGAGGCCTGAATTGCATCGTTTTGTCTGTCACTCCTTGGACAGTCCTTTATTTTAGTAAGCATTATGTTTTCATATTCTTATGAACATGCATGGGCATGCTCTGAAAAGCATCATAGCGGGAGATTGCAATGCAGTTTTCTCATTTTTGTGTAGGTCAAGGTGAATTAAGAGGTCTTGATACTCTAGATGTGCCATTTGGGACCATGGGTGCATTCTGTAACAAGGATTCAGTTCATATAGAAAATGGACTTTGGACACATATCTTCTGATCATCATTTACTTCCTTTTGCTGTGCTTTAGTGGACACAAAATTCCTTTTGGAAGAAATATAAGTGGAAAGTGCATTCAAGATAGGTGCATGATGCACTCTGGCAAAAGGTGTTCAGACTTATGTGGTGTGGTGGTAGACCCAGTCCTGTGCACACATTTTATGGTATGAATGGCTGATCAAAAGCACCATCACCTTTGCTCTGCACACCTCTTTGTGCCTGTTGCAGCAGTGTTCTACTTGCTACCATGGGCACAGCTGAGGGACCTGAGCTGAGAACTAAAGTGCTGTACATTCGAGCAATATGCCATGAAAGAATGCTATTCTAGGTCGGTTGTAAACATGAACCAACTCCACACCAACTGTCTTAGGGTTTCTGTCCACAGTGTGGTCTGAAAAAAAGGCACAGAAGGAATTTTCAGGACATTTTCTCTTACATCCTAGTACTGCCTGATGCTTGAGAATGAAAATGTTGGTCATGGGTTATGCCATGGTTCAGGAAGAGCATGACAGGCACAATCTACCTTGACAGCAAATGCTAGATCCTCCTCTGAGTTCTTTACCCACTCCATCACAAAGAGAAAGACTGTTGTGGTACCCCAATAATAAAACCAGCATAAGTGAATAAGATTCTAGGCCGTGGAGCAACTGGTCATCACATTAATATCAGTTTCAGAGGAGATTACAGCTCATCCTGCTTGATCTTGAACTAAAGTAAATGGAAAAATCACAAATCTAATTGAATCATTCTAGGAATGTACAGTACCTTGACTAAAAATAGTAGCAAACAGTGGAGGACAGATACTGAAGTGCTTCTAGTCTCTGTGTCCCAAACTAGTGTGACAGAGATGAAGGAGGTGAGCATGATGCTGAATCCTGGAGCTGAGTGTGAGGTGACCTGAGTTTGGCCCTGCCGGGGCATCAAGGTTGGAGAGACTTTGTGCAGCATTGTGAGTATTGACCATTTTGTGAAGGTAAGCTGTAAGTTTCTCTGAGCTTTAGTAAACTGTTTAGTAGAGTATAAAAAGTGATTCAGATGAAGTTTAACACAAGAACAGTAAAGTGCTTAAGACAGGTGATGATAGTGTAACTAGTAATTTTTAATTAACCTACCTTCTGGCATCTGTTTTGGGACTGCCTGGCTAGTTTTTCCTATCCATTTAAGTTACTAATTCCTGGTCATAACAGAGAAAGTAACACCGCTTGTGGGAAGCTTCATTACTTCATTAGAGTATGATTATCATCTATCTGGAGGTATATGTCATGCTGGAAGATTAAGCGGTATGGAGCAAAACTACGGGGGTAAAAGTAGCGCAAAGTGGACATGCTTTCAGTATACATATATAACAGTAAGTATATTGGGGTAGATTAGGAGATCATAAACTGTAAATGACTGGTGTAAAACCTTCGTATTCTAGCTAGTCACAAAGTGTGGACAGCGTGAAGTGCCAAGGGGATAAGTAAGTGCCGTTTCAGAATTAGTGCTATTTGGCAATGAGTGTTTGTGTTGAAAGTGATCTGGAAATTCTCTGGGATATTTTGTCTCTTGGTTGATGGTGTTGGAAAAGCAGATGCTCTAAAAAGACTGAAATAGGTAGAGATGATAGTGCTTGTACGGAGGTGTTTGTACAAGCCATAAAAGAGAGCATAGAGTACTAAATGACTGTGAACACATTAAATCTTTTAAAAAGTTTTTATATATTGACATCAAAGTGCTCGTTTTCAAGCATTTCAAAGTGAAATGTTTTCAGTTTATTGAAAATTTTCTAGAGGACTTAAAAAAGCATGTGTTAGATATGACTCAAAGACACTTCCTTCCAGATACCTTTTTCTGTGGGTAAGTTAATACGTTGAGAACTCATATACTCTTGAAAATGGTGGGATGACTGTCATGGTACAGCTGAGATAACTTGATGGGAAATACCAAGATATCAGTGCATCTGTTGGCATCATAATGGGACACTTTCTTATGAGTTCAGTCACCTGCAGAAGCAAATGTATTGTAAACTTCCCAATGCTACTTACCATGGTGAGATGCTGTTGAAAACCTTTTGTGAAGCCAGTGGTATGACTGCCATTGATTTCACTGGCAGTTGAAGCTTCTGAAAGCTAATAAAGACATGCTTTGAGCAGAGCTTTTTAATGTAAAGTAATGCCCTTTGAAATCTGCTTAAAAGGATATTAACACCACACCCCCAGAAGAGACTGGACCTGCCTTGAAGGGAAATAAAAGTGTTCCTCTAACTGGGGAAACCACAGAAGACTTGTTTTGAATGTAAAGGGAAATTTTAGAGATCAGCCTGCAAAATGAAACATCAGCAGAAAAAGCCACCAAATCACAACATGACAAGACAGGAGACAGAAAAGTTTTAGAGGAGCAAAATCTATGAGAGCAATGTGGGGATGTAGCTCTTGTTAGCTTCTTTAGAGAAGGTGCTTCAGTATTGACAGCTAGCAAGTTCTGCTAGGCTGAGCATGGTGAGCTGTGATTTAGTGGTTCAAAGTGAAAGGGCTTATTGGTGTTGGTGACCAAAAAGTCATTTACATCCTGTTTTCTGTGTGAGGAACATTAAATGTACTATTTGTATTTTGAAGCTAAATGTTATACACAGCTCAGTAACATGTCTGTGTGTTGTTTATTCTCCCCTCCTCATTTCTTTGTGGACTGTCAGTAATACCTGTGAACTATGTTTTTCCTAAGTGCTGTGTTTGGTACTTACACAGAAATTACCTACATATCTAGCTTGGGATAATTCTGAGTTTGGTAGCTTTTAATGTAGGGGCAAGAGTAGATTAAGTTGGATTTTAATTCACTAGAACATAGAGGCAGAAGTGGGAAACTTGCTTTGGGTAATATCATTTTGGGTTCTTAAAATCTCTGTCTGGTCATTGTAGACATTTACAGAGATGATAAGATGTTGTTGTAACATGTGTCACATGAAGGACTTTGAGTATTGCTGTGATAATTTGGATAATATACCAAAATTAATTGGTAGCAGCTAGGGATCATTCACAGAAATAAATATTAAGATATGTATTTAATTATATTTTATTTTTAGTATTTAAGAACTTGCTTTAGGAATATTACAAGGATTGTGCTTGTTTAATGTCCATTTCATGTTGTGATAACACTGTAGCTACAATACAGACAACAGCGAAGGCTGACAAAGCTGAAATAAATCTGTATGATTAAGTAAAACAAAAGTGGTGTAAAAGTAATAAATAAAATGCAAATAAAATACCGTATCCACTGGTTTGTGGATAAGTGAAACTTTATAACAAAATAAAATCAAATACATTTGGTGTTGTGGAGAAACTAGCATCAGTCAGCACTAACTGTTGGTTTTTCCTTGAAGGATGAGCAGCAGGACTGTCTGTGTAGTGTGGGGAGGACTATGACAAGCAATGATTTGTGGGAATAGTGTGTGACCCTGATGGAGACACCAAGTCAGGAGTTTTCTTCTTCCTGGGGATTCTTTCCTTAAAGTTTGCTACAGGCATTATTTGGTGATTTTTTTTTTCACCTCCTTGAGCTCTGTGAGAGCAGGAAAACTCTTCCAACCCGGGTTACCAGGACTGTAATTCATAGCACAGATGATAGTTTTCTGGTAATTCGATCTGGTATGTGCTGCTTCTGTATTTGCAGCATCATGCTTTTAATTTATTTATTTTTTAAAATATATATAACTTGGAGTTACATATTACTTAAAAGAGAATGAAAAAAATTGGAATTTTCAGTTTTAATTTTTCACTGTCAGTTGAGATGGTGATGATCAGTCATGTCCAAGTGTTTCTAGATCAGGTAACATTGACATTAGTTGCTCATGAGCATGATTAGGAAAATTGTGGCTATTTTACAAGAGTGTATTAAAATCTTTTAAGGCACAAGTAGCTTCTGTTTCAGCGATCATCCTCAGCAAGAGTGTAGTAGATAGGAAAAATAGTAGTATATTTTTACATTCACCTAATCTGTCAATGCACTTTAAAAGGCTAAGTGCTTGGCTGCTGGTCCACTGCCAGAGCTATATAACACATTTATGCTCCTGAAGATGTGGCAAGTACTAAGGATGTAATGTGTGAGCAATCCATGAGCCAGGGTAAGGTCTGTTAATATTGACACAGCCTGGTCCTGCTGAAAATAGTTACCTGTGTTTGGGCTGACAAGACAAACTGTATGATGGTCATATGTAATACTTCAGTATAGGGTCTTCCTACTGTTTTTTTGGGGGTGGAATGAGAGGATCACAGTGCAAGTTATGGACTTCTTCGTAGCCCAATCCAGAGCCTGAGTGTAAATTTTTAATTATTGTGGCTCAAAATAGCTCAAAGCTATTTATAGGATTTCATAAAGCTTGTGCATGAGTTGTGTGAATACAACAATTTTTGGGGTAGACACTCTTCAATTATGTGGAAGGGTGGGGAAGAATGTGGTCCAGCTCTATTTCTTGAATCACTTGGGAAAATACGGAGGAGTTTGTCACATGTCAGCTGCTGCTGTAGTTCAGACTGTAATTTAGACACCAACCCATATTTTGTACTGATAAGTTATGTTTCTGAGAAGT